TCAGAAGGTCCTGTATCCAACAAATTGAACATCTACAGAATGAAAGAACAAAGAAGGGGAATGAAAGGAATTTAATCTTTGAAAATGTAATAAAAAATCACCTAACTGAGAGAAATACATTTTAACTAGGCCAATTAGGTTGTTCAATACTAGGACAACAGAAAGATCTATAAAAGGCCCCTATAATATTAAAACTATAATTCTTAAGACATTCCAGGGAAAAACATGTAACTTATAATCAAAATATTATTAGATTTTGAACTCAAACAGTAGAAAATAGAAGATAATGAAAAGGATGCCTTGAAAATCCTTTCAGTAAATGTTTTACTACCTGTGGTTTTCTGTTCAGCCTGCCATCAGTAAAGCTAGTTTTGCTAAAGTTTAAAACTTTTACTGCCTGTGCATCTTTTCTTTCCCTTCCCTTCCCTCCCTTATTTTTGTTTGGTAAAGAGACTTGAGCTCAGGGCCCGGGATATTGGTTCCTCAAGGCCTGAGGAGTACTGATTGCTCAGGGCTAGTGCTCTACTGCTTTGAGCCACAACTCCACTTTTGGTTTTCAGGTGGTTAATTGGAGGTTAGAGTCTTAGACTTTCCTGCCCTGGCTTTGAACCATGATCCTCAGATCCCATCCTCTTCAGTAGCTGGGATTATTGGCATGAGCCCACTATTGCTTGGCTTTCATGCACTCTTTCTTAGGCAGTAGCCAAATGAAGACAAATAGGGAGTAAACTAAGAGGGAAAAATGACATCTCGGAAACATCGTATCTCCATCCAGGAGAAAAGAGAAGGAACTTTCTAGGTGGTAACTGATGGGATGTTCCTGGAAATACCTACCCAGTGGACCTGGAAATTGTGAGGGCTGGATTGGGCTTTGAGGAAAGGGTTCTCCAGGGAAGAAGAGTGGAAACGGTAGGGGATCCATGCCTTTTGATCATGCAGAAAACATTATTGAGCAGACCTTTTTGCATCTCATGTAGAGTTTAGGAAGAAACTAAGTACATCAAAGAGAGAGGGAGAGAAGAAAAAGAAGAAATTAAGGAATTGGAAAGCAAGAAAAGGAAAGAGGAAGAGTCCTAAAATCTAGGAAAAATAATACAAGCAACCAAGCAAACATAGCCATAAAAATAAAAATCCTGCGAGGAATACTGCTAGTTGTGGTGGCACCCTTCTGTAATCACTGCAATCAGGAGTCTGAGTCAGGAGGATCACAAGTATAAGGCCATTATGAACCTGCGATTTAGGAATATGGAAGTAATGTAGGAGACAGTGTCTTGAATTAGAAATAGTTGCTTCTGGAAGAAGTAAAGCAGTACTTGTTATTTACTCTTTTCATGACTTTGGTGCTATTAATAGTCTTTAGGCATTATTTTGATAAAAACTAATCAATTTAAAAGTTAAATAAATAGCATTTTGGTGAACATCATTATACAACAGATTTGCCTCCCTATAGGCTTTAAATTCATTTATCAGGGTTTTTTGTGCCATTTGTTTCCCTATCAGATGTTGTTGACATTTATGTTTAAACTCTAATAATCCTAAAATTAAGGTGTGATCCCTGGTTTGAAATACTTAGGATTCCATGGAGAAGATTTTGAAAAATCATGATATGCGGTATGGTTGTCTTTTGAAAACTAGAAGGGTGGGGAGAGGGTTGGGGCCTTAAGAGAAAGCATTGGAGAAAATAGTTAGCCAATGAAACAAACTGCAGACAGTAGAACCTGCCCAAGGAAGGAAGATAACCAAAGCCTTGTGCAGAAAAGACCCTTCTCCTTGTGTACATTCTAAATGTTTAGAGAATAGGACACTCAACAGGATGAATATTTTCTGGCTTACCTACCAGTTATTTCTCCTAAAAGAATTCTTCTACGTTCCATTGCCTCACATTGTAACATAATCATGCCCATTTTAACTGAATTACCTTTAATAGTAAACAGTGGCATTTCTAGAAAATTTCGTAGTAGATATAAAGTGATGTAGTGTTGTTTAGGTTCATATGTTGTTGGCTCTTATTTGTAGCGATATTGCTTTAACATGAGATGGGCCTTTTCCCTTTTCTTTTTGTTTTTTTGCTGGTTGTACGGTCTGGGCCTGGTCTTGTCCCTGGGCTTCTTTTGCTCAAGGCTAGCATTCTACCACTTCTGGCTTTTTCTGTGATTAATTAGAGGTAAGAGACACATGGACTTTCCTGCTTGGGCTAGTTTTGACCTGAGATCCTCAGATCTCAGTTTCCTGAGTAGCTAAGATTACAGGATTGACTCACAACCACCCTTTTTTTTCCCTTTTTGTCAGTGCTGGTACTGAATTCTGAGCCTCATATTTGCTTGGCTTGCTTGCCTAGCTGATGCTCTATCATGTGAGCCATACATCACTCAAGCCGATGACTTTTTTTAAAGATGGAGTCTCAATAGACTTTTCTGTCAGGTTGGCTTTAAATGGACATCCTCTGGATCTTAGCCTCCTAGTAGCTAGGCATAAAATCTGGCTAAATAGGCTTTTTTTTTTCTTTTGCACTTGTGTTTTTAATTTTTTCTTATTCCAGCATATTCTCTCTCTTAAACTTGTTTGAACTTCAGTTTTGCCAGAAAACTTCAAAAAGGCAGTCCCTCACTTTTTCTTGGCAGCAGACTTGCTGTTAAAAGATTATAATATATAGTGAAATCATGATTTATTTCTTCAAAGGAAAGTTTTGGCTTCTAATGTAATAATTTTGAAATATAATCATTATTAGTGCCTCATGAACTTTGTAAGGGACACTAAAAATATGACCAAAGGGTGGGGATGGTCTTGGTGGGAGTGGGCGTACAATGTTTTTGAAAGAGAGAATATACTGAAGTGCACTGTGTAAGTAAACTAAGGAAGAAAAGTTACAGGTTGGAGTAAGGCAGAAGAAGGAAGGAAGGTAATTATATAGGGTTGTGTCTGGTAGAAGTCACTTCTTGGTTTCCTCTGGAGTCTCCTAAGAACCTGTTTCAAGGAACTGCAGAGGTTTCTGTTCCCTTTGATTGGAGTTAAAGGTTTAGAGAAAGAGGAGGTGGAAAGCATACAAAGATTGAACTGCTGTCAGGGAGATACGTTCTGCATTCAAGTAACTCTTGGTTTACCCTGAAAGTATAAGGATGTTACTGTGAAGCTTTAAGCAAGATAGTTTGTGAGTTGTGCTTGCATATACCTACTTTTGAAGGTCACACTATTGCAAGATTACTTAAAAGACTACTCTGCTTTGGGGGTGAGTGCTAAGGTTGAACATAGGGCCTGTATGTTGTAAGTAAATAGTCTTTCTCTAAGCTTTACTTTCCCTCTCAACTGCCCTAATCAAACTCATCATTCTAGATTGGAAGTTAATTTCACTCTACCAGAAAAAATGAAAAGCGTGCCCAAAAAATAAAAGGAGAGCTTCAATTACAAGTTGTTATCTTTGAAGATGCAACTTGGTTGGTTTGTGTTTTTCTTCACTGCTTTTTCTAACTTGTAAATGAAAGTTTAAATGATCAAGGAAACAGATTTTTCTGAAAAAAATCTCATTTAGAAATCAAGGACATTTAAGTTTTGGAGATAGATAAAATTTACTTTGTATACATATTTAAGTGTGTGCACAATTAATTTAAAAAGAAACCTAGAGGGATAGAGAGTGCATCAGACTAGAGAAAAATATTTCATCGTCACCTGTCTTAATTGTTCTTGACAGTTTGCTGGAGTTATTGGTATAGGGTTCCTATTTTCAGAAGCATAATATGCATGAAGAATTCATAAGTTTCAGATGTAAAATGTTTCATGAGGTGTCTTTTGTCAATTTTGAATGAGGAAGTCCTCCTTCTTTCCTGAACATCTCTCCTCTTTTCTGCTTTTGTAAGCATTCAAGTCTCTTCAGAAGTACACTGTTGAATACACAGACATTGTGTCTATCTTGTGAGCCAGCTTACACAGAGAGCATGTCTAGATAAATACACTAACTGTTCTGCATGTTTACCACAATATTTGGATTGGAACATCTTGAAGAAGTCACATACTTTTCACTTTTAAAACTTTTTAGTGGCAATCATAATTGGTTGATTTTTAAAAGTTGAAAATTTGGATTAAATTGTATGGGGAAACAATCATTTGAGGGTAAAGATTGTTTTAATCGTCATTAATTTGATGGTTACTCATTTTTTAAAAATCTTTATTGAAAGGTGATGGGGGGTTACAGTTACATAAATGAGGTAATGAGTACATTTGTTTTTAAACACTGTTACCTTAATTTCTCCCACTTAAACCTCCCTACTCCCCTCCCTTCAAGTTGTAAGGTATATATCCAACATGGTGTCGAGTAAGTATCACTGTTGCATTAGTTCATCCTTTGTCCTGCTGTTTCTGTGATTCCTTTTCCCTTCAACAGATCAATTAAACTTACATATAAAACACAAGGTACAGAAAACTAAGAGAAAAGAAAAAAAATTAACTACATACAGGACATAATAAGAACCTCTTGTTTCCAATTCTCGGAGTTCATGTTGATACACTTCATTATATGTGGTCCTATGCACTTAGCAATTGCGTTATTGAGGTCATCTGTTAAGAATATCATAGACATATTCTAGGATTTACAAATGAAGGAAACTATGCAACCTGCTTTTCTTAGGGTCTGGCTTACTTTGCTTAATATAATTTTTTCCAGGTCTTTCCATTTCCTTACAAATGGGGCAATACCATTCTTTCTGATGGAAGTATAGAACTCCTGTGTTTATATACCACATCCTCTGGATCCATTCATCTACTGAGAGACATCTGGGTTGTTTCCATACCTTTGCTATGGTAAATAATGCTGCAGTGAACTTGGTTGTTCTGGTAGCTTTAGTGTGATCTTGTTTGTGGTTAGTTGGGTAAATGTCCAGGAGTGGGATTGCTGAATCATAGGGGAGCTCCTATGTTTTTTTTTTTTTTTTTTTTTTTTTTAGAACAAAACAAGTATATTTCTATTGGACTACCTGATACAGAAGATAGCATGGTATAGATGGATAGTATGAATGACAAATAATACAAATATATTTTATTTGAAATAAACAAAAATGCTTACATAGCTTTCACTGAGAAACAAACTGTTGCTTGACTGTATTACAGAGCAAAAACAAAGCTGAAGCACAAACACCCTTCTGTTTTGACAATTATTTGGAGACAGGTAGGAAGACACTACTTGGTTTTTAAAAAACTGACCTTCCTTTAAGGCCTGGTCATAGAAGTGTAAACAATGTAAATGAATCCACCATTACCAGTTGTCATTATCATATCTATGTTACCTGCATATTCTGAGATCATAAACATACCTGCCAATATACCTGGGAAGGGTTGCTTATATCACAGTTACATGAGTTCTTGGCAGGCTGGATCAAGGAAGAGTAATTTGGAACAAGTTTTATACCTATTTAGAAGAAAACACTAGTATTCCCTTAAATAACAGGTAATAATAGAAAGATACTGCCTGGAAGTTATCCTTTTCACTTTGGTTCATTTTTAGTTTTTGTGATTTACATAGTTGTCTGTTTCATTTGCTTATATTACAATCCTGCCACAAAATCTTAAAGCACAAGATACCTATTATTCATTCCTTCAACATCTATGTTTTTCAAGTTTCATACTCTACTACATCCACAATATGTCAGCAGTTCTTGGAGAGGAAACAAAAATATAAATGGGCAGAACTTGCCTAAAAATGTAGATGTTTCTAACTACAATGCTGCTTAATGAGAAGACAATGCGAGAATGAAAAAAAAGCAAATGTTCATGTGTAAGGAATGTGGTTCAACTCTTTGGATTTAAAAACAAGATCCCCAGAGAAGCCAAGTATCATGGAATTTCTAGAAAATTTCCTCTGCGCACCCCCGCAACCTATAGATCTGAAAAGTCTAAACTTCTGCAAACTACATTTGTGAGATGTTATAGGTGATGATCTAAGCAGAGGGAGAAGGATGAATGTGTCTTCTATTTAGCTAATTTGTAGCATAGCCTCTTTAGCTGTTGGTGGATCAGTAAAAACTACTGCAGGTACCAGAAGTGCTTTGAAGAATAGGGGTTAAAAACAACAACAACAAAACCCCTACTGACCATATTTTCTGTTTAAATCAATAACAGGAATTCATGGCTAGGAAAATTTTCTAAACTGTAAAATGACTCCAGGATAGATCTCTCCATTAAATGTAGCAAGGAGGGGGAAAAAAAAAAGATTTACACTAGTAGATATAGTGATAACAGAGAACTACAAGGTAGAGAACACAAAAAAAAAAATACTAAGACAATGCTATAGGTTCAACAGTATTCCATGAGGCTAGAAAATCAGTTAACTTTGAAAGCCCTAGCAAAATATCACTCTTGTTTATAAATCACTTATTTATCATATGACCACGTTGACTCCTTTTCCTTCCACACACTGAAGAATCCTATAGTCAGCTTTTAAGCATTCTGCATTTCTTTGCCAATCTTGTAGCTGAGTATCTTGTTCCAGTCGATTTTGGTGCGGGTAACTGGGAGTTGCCGGCGCAAGGCCTTGAATGTGGTATCTGACATTGTTTGATAGTTTTCACTAATTGCTGTCTGATACTCATTTTCTGCACTCTCTATGATTTTAATAAAGTCCTTGGCAGTTTGGATTTCATTCTGAATCTTCAGCACTCCAACCACCTGGGCTGTAGGTGGTGTGATTGTGAACTTCCACTCTGATCTCCAACGACCATTCCAGAAGTTTTTAGGCTGAAACTGGTGGCTTTCAATACATGCAATTATAGTCTGTTGCCCATCTATAGTTTTAGCATAAACAGTACAGAAGCCGTTGGAATAATGATCTTTCACGTAGGCTCTTAAAGCACTGTCACAGGATTCTCTCCAAGACTTCAAACCTCGATCTACTTCCTCTGGCTGGGGGTCACTTGCTTCTTTCCGTAAGTGATCAAACTTAAAGGAAATTTTGTTCCTTGGATCTAAAAATCTGCTATTACCCAGATCACCGTGCTCTGTTATTAGGACCTGATCTTCATATCCTTCTATCTTCACAGGTGTGAACTGATCCATGTTATACTGGGCAAATGCATGTGCTGCCCCTTCCCTGAGGAGATTGTCATTATTAAGTAGTAGCCGAACATCATTGAATACTTCATTAAACTCTCCTGGGGGTGCATGGGTGATGAATTTAGCAGCTATGCGTACCTTCTCCTCATCCGACACCCGATCCTCGAAATCGGCCATCTTGGGCTGCTCTCCTATGTTGTTTTTTGAGAGCCTCCATACTGCTTTCCAGAGTGATTGGGCAAGTTTACACTCCCACCAACAGAGTAGTAGCATTCCCCTTTGGCCACATCCCTGCCAACATCTGTGGCTATTAGATATCTTGATAATGACCATTCTAACTAGGGTAAGGTAAAATCTCAATGTTGTTTTGATTAGCATTTCTTTTATGGCCAGAGATGTTGAGCATTTCTTCATGTATCTATTGGCCATTCTTTTTTCCTCTTCAGAGAAGTCTCTAAGTCTTTAGCCCATTTGTTAATGGGGTGATGGTTTCTTTGGGGATTTGTTTTGGGGGAATTTAATTTCTTGAGCTGTAAGTGTATTTTAGATATGAGGCCCTTGTCTATTGTATGGCTAGTGAAGATCTTAGATCTCCCAGTCTGTGGGCTTTCTATATATCTTGCTAGTTAAGTACTTAAAGATTGTTTTAATCATCACGGATTTGATGGTAACTAATTTTCAGTCTGTCATCTTTTATCTTTCCACATATGCTGTATTAACGAATCACTCTGCCTTCTGCTGTCCAATGTGAGTTTGCTTATTGACTTTGTGGGGTTTTAATAGCTGAGCTATTGCATGTTAGTTTACTTTCAGTTATTGTGACATAACCAGTTTCAACTAGATTACTTGTTGTTCTGCTAAAGATGTACTTATTTACATGCTTTTTAATGTGCATTCATCAGGAAGGAAAATAATCCAACTGACATGTTTTGTTAACTACAAAAATATGAAATCCCTATGAAATTATAGTGATGGTAATTTGGGGCTTGTCTCTTAATTATTAATACAGATATTAATGAGATTACTATAGCCATATTTGTTACTACAACACAATTCAGATCATTTTACTGCAATCTTGTGAGCTTTTATTTCTAATATTGAACATTGCAGAGCTATTAAGCTTATGAGCTTTGGGGATGAGGATTGGACTGGTCTCTGCCTTCTGAGCTACAAGTCTAATAGGAGAGAAAAGGCTCTTATGTGTACACTTATTCATGAAATTTCATAAGTAGTAGGAGGAGGAAACATTTTGGAATGGAGGATGCCCTACTGCAAGGAACATGGCCTCAGCATCAGACCCCAGAGCCCCAGGGACTGTAGGATCTTCCTGGGAAAACTACGGCGGTTTTTTCAAACTGAGTACACAGCAGAGTGGCATTGTATTACTTGAAAAGCATGTCTGGAAGGTCAGCATAGTATGACAGACTCGGTAAGAATAGAGTAATTAGGAAGTCTAACCTCATGTGTGGACTCTGTCCTGGCTGTTTAACCTGAGAGATTGCATGTGGGAAATGTTGAGTTCAGGTGGTTTCTTCACAATAATTCACAGTTCTGATTTCTAAATGTCAGCTTCTCAGTTCTGGCTCACTTGGCTGGTAGAGCTTTGTGGAAATAGTGCTGTAGTTCGCCTGGGCCAGACCTACTTTTCTTGTGTTCAGGCAAGAAGGAAGCACTTTGTAGGTGCCTGTTAGTTTTGGATCCTAAGTCAAGACAGGCCATGATCAGTGGCAGCTGGTAAGCCATTAAAAGTTCCCAAACTCAATGATGACTGGAACATTTTAAAAAAGTAATCACTAGTATATTTTTTTTCTTCTCTCACTAGATACATTTTTATTGCATAAAATTTGGGTGAGACTTCAGATGTGATATTCAGGCTGTAAATGGAAGCCCTTTAAAAAAAAAATTCAAAGTAGTTTCCTGCTACAAATTATTTAACTGCCAGCTGTTTTAGTTGAAAGAGAGTCTACTACCGAGTAAGCACTTTGTATTGTCCACAGTCTATGACTTTGGGCACAGCATTTATCCCCAAACTGTTTGCTTATTCATGAAAGTGGAGATACTGATCTGACTGGGTGCTGGTGAGGAGTGAAGGACTACAGATTAGAAGGTGAAGTGCATGTTGCAGTCTTATGCCTACAAATAAGGATACAACAAAACAGACACATAGATTCTGATCTCATAGTCTGCATATAAGGCAATGTTCTGGGATTTCAAATTTTATATTTATAGTTTTTTATGTATTTTAAGCTCTGCCATTAATCTGATATTATTTGCTATTATCTGATATTAATCATGGTTGGTGATGATTTGGGCTTTGGAGTTCTATAGAACAGTGTGTTGTTCATCTACTGTTCATACTGCTGTTCCTTTCTGCTCTCTCCCTAGGCTAAATTTAATTTGCTTTTTTCCAAGTGCATTTTCGTAAATTCCGTTTGGGATATAAATATTCTATGAAAACCATGATATTCTTAAGAAAGCCCCTTGTGACATTGCTTCTTAATGAGCCCTTTGATTCCCTGCATTGTACGCCTCTCTGCTTCCAGGTAGGTCGCAGGGGCTTAAGAGTGGAAATGTGCCTTCCCATGGCCAAGCTTGACTAGCTCAAACAACCCATATTGGTGGCATGAAAAAACATTTTAGTGAGGTTTATTCTTCACCCCAGTGTTTTTATGGAGTTTAGTAAATGTCAATCCGTGACACTTTTTATTGCTCATCTGAGTTCACATAGTTTAGATAACCTCTTTCTCTTCAGTACTGCCATGTTTTTCCTCCTCAGCCTATACACCCACTTCCTCTCTGAGCACCTGCATAGTAGTGCTCTTCAGAAAGTCTGGAGGCTGGCATTCTTCAGAGTTGGCCTAAAGTATTGCAGAAAAACTGTATTTGGGAAGGTAGGTGCATCCTAGCCAGGAAAAGGGACACTGGTGGCAACTTGGCTTTGTTTGCAGGACCTTCACCTGCTATTCCTAAGTCACTAGAGCTCTGAGGGGGCAAACGAGGGCTCTTGCTCTTGAAGACTCTAGTGGTAATATTAACTGCAAAGAAAGCATCAGCAAACGAGGAAAGATAGTGAGTATGTTAATCATCAATGTGAAATCATTATTTAAATACTATAAAATCTGCTAATCTTACCATTTTTAATACTTTCCTTTTAATAGTGTAATAGTTCCCATGAACTCCACTTTGATTAGAGGATTTAAATATTTTTAAGACTTTGCCATATTGCATTGTGATTGTTTCAGAACAGGAATTATAGCATTCTCTTCAACCCTTATCCCTTCCACATGTGTGTAACTTTGAAACTGCATTCCCTTGGCACACAGAAAGTTTCCTATGTTGTTTCTTTCATTCAGTTCCTTGAATTATTTATTGTTCCACTTCCTTACCACTTCATTCATTTCTTTAAAAACACTAATTTTCCCATATATTTTTTTCCTGGTGTTAATTCATTGTAGGAACTAGATTGATGTGGAAGATAGCAAATAAATACCAGCATATACTCTTATTTGGCTGGAGTTTAGGGGATAGGGGAGGAGACCTTAAAGCTGAGGTGAGCACATGGAATGTGATGTTGCCAGTGTACTGGTTGTCATACAATTGCCACCCTCCTCCCCAGTTTCATTGTTATGTCTTTGTTTGCTTTTAATTATGACCCAAACAAGTCAGCACCTGCTTTCCATACTAATACTTTTGTATCACTGTACTCATGCCTGTGGTTTTACCCTAATCCACTCAGTGCTCCTAAGTATCTTAATATAATACCCTTTCTCTCCCTTGCCAAAAATATAAAAGGTGTTAAGAAAACTAACTCAAGAACATCACCCTGAGTTCACTAGCTTTTAAAAAGAGCCCATGAATAACACTAAATAGAGGGTAAAAAGAAAAGCAAAAGTATAGGATTTTCACAGAGGTCCATAGAGAAGAGTTTCAGGGAGAATGAAGGGGGTCAAAGTGCAAATGTCTTACTGAGTCTAAGACAAATACTGTTTTTAGCCTTGATGTGATCCCTGGAGATTTCACTTTTAGTACTACTAGGGACTTGCTATTCTGAACATCAGAGTTGCTATGGTACAATCAAGCCCCATCAGGAGGTACAATGGAACTGTGCATTTCTTTGTTGTTACTTTTACCTATCTACTTTTCCCTACTGTACTTGAGCTTCCCTGGAAATGATGGGCTGTTCCTTCAAAATTCTAAGCACCATGTGTGGTTCCTGCTCAGAAGAGAATGTAGAAATGCTGGGAATGATTTAGAAAACAAAAGGAGACACTTTTGCAGGAATGGCTTTAGACAAGTTGGTAGGTTAGGTTGAAACAACTTTGAACTAGAATTGAACTCATTGAACGAAAGTGTAGTCCCTGTAAATGAGATTAATATTCTAGCTAAATGGAGTTATTGTGACTTAAATAGCACCAAAGTGCTATAAAATTAAATATGTAATAAGGAAAATTTTTATATAGCCTGCCCTTTTAACAGATGGAGGCGACATGCTGTAAGTTAATATTGTTCTATGTTTAATTCTATTGCCTTTTACCATATATAATGATGCTTAGGCAGGCTTGCTGATATTTAGGAGAACTGCTAATAATTGACAACATATGCTTGCTCTTTCAGTGAACTCTAAGGAATAGGTTGTTACTGATCTGCCATCATATGGCACGTGTAGATAGACAAAGTCATTTGCAGCTGATGTTTTAATAAGTGCAAATTATTATGTTTCTATATTTCCTCATTAGTACCCAAAATTGAGCTTGTACCTCAAAGGAATTTGTTCTGCAAATTAAGGGAGAAAGGAGGGACAAAGAATGGAGGGAAGGAAGGAAGAAAGAAAGGAAGGACAGAAAGAAGGGAAAGTAGTTCTGACAGCTGTAAAAAAAAATCTTATTTCACTTAGTTGCCTTTCTCCAACTTCAACTTTTATAGGTCATTAAACTGATTTCTCTCTCCCCTATATCTTGGAATGGAAATTTTGAATTGTTATAACCAACATGTAATAGAACTCCTGACATGTAAATTGCTAAATATTTATGTTTAAAAATACGGTTTGTAAAACTTCTTAAAAATACAGGAAGCAAATGACTGGTTTGGAAAAGAAACTCATGTTGAAGATTGGTCATTTCTAGTAGCTTTATTTAGTATATTTTAATGTTACTTGTAGTTTTCTTCTATAATGTATATAAC